ACGCACACACAGACGCATGCAAACAGACACGCGCCCACACATACACGCACACACACCCTCCCCACACCCCCATACCTCCCCCCCCCTTCTCCCCACACACACATGCACACATGCAGATGGCTGTGATGGATGTTGTCTCAAAATGCTAAATACCTATCCTGCTAATCACGAAATGGCACGCATTGCTGTGAAATAAGCACAAGCGAACGGACACACTGACACTTCCACCTGGTTTGTGGGAGACTTAGAAATTGGGGGGGTATAGTGAAGGGCCGTCTCAAGGTGAAGAGCAGGAACAAGATGAGACTCCTACCATCTTCACCCACCCGAATAGAACGCCCCGGTGATCATACCTGTATTTGGGTCAACTTGCAAGCCCCAATGAAGCAATAATGACCACACATTCTATTCAGCTGAAAACGAATACACTCACACTTCCACTCTGCAATAATGACCACACACTCTATTCAGCTGAAGACGAATACACAATTCTAGGCGACGCAATTGTGTATGACGCCAACCATGGACTTCGGAGTTGATCGCTCCCAAGCGTCATCAACCCGACATTCCCCAACTCCGAAGTTCATGGTTGGCGTCATACATGCTTGGCATTAGACCTGTCCCAGTCTGGAGCCGAGCACGCTTCAACGAGATAAACCGGCACAGATTGGTACTGTACAACAGCATCCAAACAAACAGGCAGGACCTGGATTCGATTTCGCCATCCCAAGCTAGCACATTATATATGGTGCTCACCACCGTTTAGCAAGCAGAAATCATCTGGCAATATCAAGACGATCGAACATCAGGTTGAATGCGTGGAGAGACAGTACACGGAGAGGAGCAGGAACTTGGAGGGTACCGCAGTGATCCAGAACATGGCAGCACAGGTATTCAAAGGTCTCATACCGAAGGGCATGAGAACGGGAGGGACAGAAGCAGATGATGGAGGAGGGAGGAGGAGGAGGAGGTGCAGATTGACAAAGTGACAAACAGAGGGTTCCCTAGGACCGATAAGGAGGGAAGGAGGCACACATATTGCAGGGCAATTAGGAAGAGAAGAAAACCACCTTCTTCATAACGCACGCCTCATCTGTTTCTCCTGGCTGCTGCATGGTTGGAGCAATCGGACCAGCCATTCCTGACCCAGTTGTCCATCCCACAACTTGCGCACCAGACATTCCGGCTAGGTCGTCTTTTTTTTTGGCATCGATCTAAAAACAAACACAAAACCATCAACGCAGTTAATTTGACTGTAGTAACTGGTTTAAAAGGGAAAAAAGAGGGGAGGGGGGGAAAGGAGGTGGGGTATGGATAGGCTCTGCGTTAAGTAAAATTCAAGCACCACTTCCTTGCAGCTCAAGCTTCAACTTACATCTCTGTGGTCGGGTCCCTCACATGCCACTCCTACTCATGCAAGGACATGCCTCTCTTGGCCCCAGCCCCATGGCATTCCCTCTCATTCCCGTCTTGCGGCCTGCTAGACCTCTCAAGGTCCTAAACCACCAGTACATCCAAGCCTCTCTTACCAAGGCGGATTCACCCCGCAACGCCAGCACTTAAAAGCTTTTTCTCTTCTTTAGGCTGGCCGCACCGACCATTTCGGTCCCGTAGGTCCAAGCCTCTGACATTTTCGGGGATTGGCTGGTGGCTCAACATAAGCAAGAATGGTTTCGAAATTTGAATATCAAATTGTGCAAGGCAAAACCAATCAAAACATTGGAACTCCAAAACATGAAAAAGGGTTTTGAATTTTATATTATACCCCTGACAAGATCTTTAGACATCATCACCGGCGAAGGTTGCACGAAACAGTTCTTCTTTTAACTATTTACACCACATACTTAATTTTTTCAAAAAAAAAAAAAAAATTGGGGGGGGGGGGGGGGGGGGAGGATTTTCTAGTATTTCTACTGCACAATTTTTTTCAAAAATTTGCAACTTCGTTTTTGGACTTTCTAGTGCATGCACAGCACATGCGGCACACCGGTGCAGTGTGGGCAGTGTGCTGTACGTGCACATTTTCTGATGTGCATTGCACACATTGAATATAGTCCGACAAGGTACACTGCTGAAGGCAAGTTACAAGGCGCCAAAGGTCGGTGTGAGAAACGGTACAGCAATCAAAAAAAATTACCTGCCCTGTTTGATCTCTAGCACCCTCAACCCCACCTCTGGTCATTCTAAGCCCTTCCACTGTGCCATCTGCTCCAAGCCAGTGACCACCATCTCAGGACAGCGAACGGTAGGACAGCAAAGAATGCAGACAGACAAAGACAGACAAAGAGACAAAGACAGACAAAGACAGACAAAGACAATACCCCAAGTTCCCACACACCCACCGAAAGAAATGCCAAACATGGGTTAGCGACCAAAACCTGTTTTCACAATGCAGGATCCGCAAATGGTATACACTGAAACAAACATTAAATGTCCTTTAGGGCATCCATTAAACTTGGAATGATACGGACAAGATTGGACAGTCCCTGTGCCAGGATGACACGCCTAAATCGAGAAATACTCCCCCCCCCCCAAAAAAAAGGGAAAGGAAACAAACCAGAGTAGTCATGCCAACGGTCAAAGCCCCTGGATTGGTCGGCGACCGACCAGCTGACCAATGCAACTGTCAGCACCTACCGGTCGGCTGTCCGTTGGC